GGAGGTTGCAGTGAGCTGAGAGCATGCCACTGCACTCCAGCCTGAATGACAAAACAACAACAACAACAAACAAAAAACAAAAAACAGAAAATGAAAAATAAATAAAGAATGCTGTGATGCACGTGTGATGTCACATAGAGAGCTGTTTCCATATTTTAGAATATTTCTTTATGAGAGATTTTCAGGTGACAGATGACTGTGTCAAAGGGTATCTCGACCTTATCACTTAAAATCTGTTCAGTTCTATGGCCCCTCTTCCTACTCTCTCAGCTTTTACATTTCTTTCTGTCTTAGCCTCTATTGATCTAGGATATATCCTTTGTAAAACCCCCATAATCCTATCACCCCTCACTGCCTTCACATAAAGCAAGGTTCACTCTTACTTCCATTACCCTCGAGTGTTCTTACAAATCAGAGGATACTTGAAAAAGGAAGACACCAAGAAGGGACATGACAAATCACAGTAGGTGAAATGGACTTGTTAGGTGTGGGATTAAGAAGAAAGCGGGGACATTAGAAAGCAGCCCTGCAAAGTGAAACCCTGAAGCAAATTCTGATGGGATGACACTTTGCCTCATCTTAAGAAGGGCTTCTGAGAGGCACAGAAGGTGAGGGGGGCAGAGTGGTACCTGCAGCTGGGCTGGCAGCATGGCTTGAAGGTAAATGAGTCCCACAGGAGATGGAAAGACCTGGAGTTATTTCCAGCCCGAGAGGGTTATTTGCTGGACAAGCTGTAAGGTCCTCCAGAGATGGAGTTCTGTGACCCTGGAATACAACTCAGGGTCAGACGCGAGACAAGGATGAACGAAGACAGGGCCAGGGCAAGTATAAGATGCTGGTAAAGCCTGGATGATGCCAGAAGGAGCAGATTTGGGGCCAGGGAGAAGGGCTGGCAGGTGAAAAGAGTCAAGGTCAACCTGATTAAAAAAAAAAAAAAGGCCGGGCACAGTGGCTCATGCCTGTAATCCCAGCACTTTGGGAGGACGAGGTGGGCAGATCACCTGAGGTCAGGAGTTCGAGACCAA